CTTCAACCTTATAAATTAAACTTGGTGAAAATGGTATTTTAACTCATGTACTTATCAATATTATTGAGATTAACCCTTTAATTTTTTTAAAAAAATATTTAAATTCTGTCACTTATATACTAAAATAAATTAATTTACACATTTTTCGATTAAAATAAACTAATTCAAATCTAATTTATGACATCATAAAATGTCAATTTACCATGAAAATTAATTATTTGCCATTAATACATTATTGACTTAATATATGCAAACCCGATTTAGTGACACGGTATGATATGGACAATTTTTTTTGCCGACATATCTCTAATTTGCTCCCCTAGACTACTTATTTCCCCAAAACCTCACTCGCCAGAAAGCTCCCACCATTATAGCACAAAGATCCAAACAGGCGCAAAAAAAAAAAAAAAAAAAAACAAAGACAAAAACAAAACAAAAACAATCATTTCTTCCATTTTCTCACTATTTTTGATGACTGCTCTTTTCCATCGCTGAAAGAGAAGGTCAAGGATAAGCTGAAATCATCGATTTGCTGTTTCCGTATGATGGATAACGGCAAGGCAACAATGATAGACCTGGACGAGTTGAAGCTGAGGATGCCGCAGTCGCTGTACACTTGGCTTAAATTGACGGCGCATGAACTGGAGATCAAGGACAAGCGCAAGAATCTGATCGGCAGAATCGGGAAGCAAGGAGGTCACAGGCAGCACGGTTCGTCCGATTTCAACAACGATCCTTTGAGCTACAGGCTGAACTTTGAGGATGAAGCGAGCTGGGCAAACGAGATGCCGGTTATTAGCTTCTCATCCCGACTTCGTTCCTCACCGGAGCGGATCATTGAGACCGACTGCAAAAACGAGCCTTCTGTGTTGGCAATGAGGTAGATCGTTCTGTATTGCTGACGGGCACAGATTCATTCGATTTATTCAACTAATAAAAAAAAAATTCAGAAATTTGGAGGAATATTGTAATCATCGGATCGGACATCGGAATAAAGAATGACTTTATTCTAGATTTTTGGGTGAGTTTTTGGGGAAATAAAGATTGTCTTCGTGAATGGCAGGGGCTTTCCAGTGCGTGAGGTTTTGGGGAAATAAGTAGTCCAAGTGAGCAAATTAGGGTTATGTCAGAAAAAAAAAAAAAATTGTCCACATTATATCATCTCACTAAATTGGGTTTCACATATACTAAGTTCGTAATGTATTAATCACAAATAATTGGTTTTATGGTAAACTAATATGACGTCATATGTTAGAATTGAGTTAATTTATTTCAACCATAAAATATGTGGAGTAATTTATTTCAATATATAAGTGATGGCTTCAAATATTTTGAAAAAAAGTTGAAAGATTAATCTTAACAATATCAAAAAATACATAAATTAAAATACCCATTTCACCGATTAAACTTTTTTCCTCTTTCCATTAGTGAACTAATGATATACCTATTTTTTTTGAACTTGTGATGATATACCTATTAACTCTATCTAAAATATCACTGATGATATGAAAATAACAAGATATTAAATTAGCTTACATAAATTCATAGTCACATTTACAATGAACATGTCCTTAAAAAATTGAAGGAAAACAAATTTTTAAATAAGTTAATAGCTACATTATCACTTTACAAATAGAATGAAAAAAAAAGGTACAATATGTACAGTTGAAAGATAAAAGGTGTTAAAAATAATTCAGGGATCAAAAGTGTTTAAAATGAAAAGTTTAGTATATTAAAATTAACATTTAACCAAAGTAAAAACACCACTTTGAGTTTGTAGCTATTATTTTAGCATATATTCAAATCTCATAAAATCTTTTTAAATAGTCTCGTTGGATTTCACCCAAATTTTAAATTTATTGATAAATAAATACTATCTTAAAAGAGAAATTTAAAAATTAAGTTTTAGAATTAATATTTAAAATTTTTTATTACACTATACTAATATGAGGATGTCCTTTAAAATTACTTAAAAATTAATTTTATAATACATAAAAATTAATATTAAGCGACCACATCTTCAAAAAAAAAAATCTCGTGGGTTTAGATTGGTGGGTGCTTGATAGTAACTAAAGTTTGCAGACTAAAATTCCCTACGAAATAACACTTTTTTCAATCTATTGAGATTTTATCATATAATAATATATAAAAAAATTATTTGATAGGTTAAAATTAAACTGTATCAAATTATAAAAGGTCAAATTTAATTTTTCATCTACTAACTATTATTTTATTTTCATTTTAGTCTAGATAGTTTAGGGCTTGTTTGGGTGAGCTTCTAGGAGGTTCATCTTTTTGATACTATTTATGTTTCATAAGTTTATATTTCTCTCTTGAAAATTTACATTTTAAAACTTTTTTAACCTTAAAAAGATCTCAAACAGTAAAAGTTCAAAATTTTCAAATCAAAACTTTTCATAAACTCTATTTTTACTCATTTTTCATTTATTTTTTTCCTATCTCTAAAAGCAACTTTTAAATTTTTCCTCTAATAAAAATTTAAACTTACCACTCACAACAGTATTTCATTTTTACTCATTTTTCATTTACTTTTTTTTCTATCTCTAAAAGCAACTTTTAAATTTTCCCTTCAATAAAAATTTAAACTTATCACTCATAACAGTACTTAAAAAGTAAAAACTTTCACAAGTTAAACCAAACAAGTCTTTTGTTTCTTTTAAATTCATCTTTCTAGCAAATTTCCATTAGTTTTTTTAACGAAATCCTATGGCATAATTATGTAACACGAGTTATGTGGCATATGCAATTTTGAAAAATTGTACTTCTTCTCTTTTTTGTTTATTTGTACATCTTAATAATATTTTCACTTTTTTAGTGAGATTTTTTTTTATTTTTTATTTTGTAATAAATTTATATCTTTTAATTTTTATTAACAACTAAAAAAATCATCATTTTCATTATTAAGATAAAATTATATCATTTTTTTAAAAGTTAGTTTGGATTAGTTTTGACTCCTAAAAAAATTAGAGTTTCAATATATATTAAAAAACTTAAATTCTAATTCAAAATTAAGAATCTAATCAGTTTCTAATTCTAAATATCAACATTTAATAAAATAAACTTTTAAATTTTAAATTAAGTTTTAATTAAATAAAACAAAGTAATTTAAGGTTAAAACTTCAATCTTTTTTGGGAGTCAAGATTGATATATATCTTTTCATTTAATACAAAAAATTAATTTTTATTTGTACTCTCTCTTTCTCAAAATAATTTGTTTTTTTATTTTTTTAAATTAAAAATTTACGGATAATTTATGTTTACTTGTATTATCCTTAAAAAGAAATAAAAGATGAAGAGATACATTTTGTGATGAAATGATTAATTAAAGTAAATAGATAATAACAAATATATTTTTTTACTTTAACCTAATTGTTATTTATTTACTTTAATTAATTATCCCTTCACCATTTATTTCTTTTTAAGGTAATATAAGTAAACATAAATTATCCTTAAATTTTTAATTTAAAAAATATAAAAAAAGTTATTTTGAGAAAGAGAGAGTACAAATTAAATTAATTTTTTGAACTAAATAGAAAAAAGAAAGAGAAAAATGTATATCAGGTCTAACTCAACTCAAAGAAATTAGAGTCCTAACTTTA